CTGGGCTAAGATGACTTCCAAAGGCTTACTAGAAACTATTCATCTTAATTTTTTTTTAAAAATCGTATGAGGATGATTCTTTTTTTCTGCAAGGGCAATTTATATAGATCAAGTGAGATAATTCATAAAAGTACTTTGAAGGAGATTACATACTTGTTCAGCCTTATATTGGTGTTTTTCACTTAATTTTTTTATTTTTTATTCTCCATTTTTAATGGAGGTACTGGTGATTGAACCCAGGACCTTGTGCATGCTAAGCATGCACTCTACCACTGAGCTATACCCACCCCCCTGGTGTTTTTCATTTTAAAATGCAGTATAACATTTAGTCCTAGGATGGCCTGGAGATTTCCGTTCTCCAGAACCACCTCCCATGCCTCCCCTTCATCAAGACCCACACCTTTTGGGGAATTCTTGACTTGGGGTTCATAGGCCCTTAAGGAATCTGAAGATAGTATATTTCTGTAATCCTACATATTTTATTTTATGTATTTAAAACTATTATCCTGAGGAGGGGGTCCCATAGGCTTTACCTCCCTGCCAAAGAGGTCCAAAGGTTAAGAATGAACTGAACTTCAACCTGCCCATCAGTGACTGTTTATAGAGTGCTGACAGTAGAGTGGTTTGGGCAGAAACTGAGGTGAACAAGACATACCTCTTTCATACTAGTGTGCCCAATTCCTAGCTGACCCCTGATCCCCTAGGGTAAGGCTTAGTCCTTGCTGACTAAGCCGTTCTGTGGCTGTCTTTACCTCCCTGCTCCACCTTGCTGGTGCCAGCCAGCTGTGCTTACTCACCAGGCCCGGATTCAGAGTCAGACATATAGGTCTTTCAGGGCTGTCTAGGCAAACCTGGAGGGTACAAGGGTGGCTCTGTAGGGCTTCTCCCTGGGGATGGTAGGGTTGCCATAGCAATCCTGTGCTTCAGTGTGTACCTTTGGGTGTACATGTGGCTCAGGATCATAGTAGGACATTTGGGCCCCTGTATAAGAGGTAGGAGTCTACAAGATAAAACTAGCTAACAACTCTTGTGATCACCTCCTGGAGGCTACACACTGGTATTCAGATGTTTATCTCTGGTTTTTACATCAGCTGTGTGAGGTAGGCATTTGAATTCAGTTTTATAGGTGAGTAGACTTGGGTCACACAGCTATTTGGTAGCAAAACAGTTTCAAATCAAGAGTCCAAAGCCCATGTTCTTTTCACTATTTTATACTGCCTGCCAGTGTTGGAGACAGGACAGAGAATGTATTGGGGACTGTTCTAAAAAATCAGGGTTCCAATTAAAACTGCCCTGCAGGAATACGCAGAACATGCTGGGCCCTGGAAGGGCTTCCCTGGCCATGAGGGTTTTTATATTTCTTTGGTTCCTCAGTTGGATTAGAATGACCAGCATGGGCAGCCCCCAACAAACCCACACCATCTGCCCAGAATTGGCAGCCTTTATCCTGAGCCATTCCAAACTCCAATTGTATACCCTGCAGGTTGATAGAGAATCCAGTCTGGTTGGAGATGAGCAGCTGATGCTTAAAGTGTCTGGAGAATGGCCGTGGGTTGCATCCTCATCACCTTAGTGCTGATAACCCAAGATAAGTCTTCCCCAATTTTTAAAAGGGAAAATCTATATAGCACCTATTCTCTAAAGAGTTTTCCCCTTAAGACACACATATCTTGCTCATAATACACCAGGTTTCAGCAGCCAGTCATCATGATGGGTTGGGAAGAACTGGTACTGAGACGTAAGTGACTATTGGAACTAAAAGAAAGTACGGTTAAAGGAGAGGTCAGACATCTTCGTCAGTTCTTTCTAAGCCTTCAGAGTTGCTGCTGCTTCGTGGGACACTGAACCATTACAGTATACTTCCTGTTGGTGTTTATTGAGAGCAATCTTCTTACATGCCGCAACATTTTACTCTAGCTGATCTGTCTTTATCTCCCACTCCTTTCAAGCAGAGTGTAATAATACCATAATTCCTAACGTGGGCAATAAGGGAGAGAATAATTTTAGAGGTAGTTTCTCCCCCCAAAACTTAAGCAGTCAACATGTAATGCATGTTTGCTTGGTCCATAGTCATTATCCCTGTCCTTCTCACCACCCCCACCCCACTGTTTTGGCAAGTGTATATTTTAAGACCGATGCTGCATGTATGAAGTTGTTAATGCATCAGGAAATAGAGAAACACACTTGTGAAGGGAAACATGAGGATCGTTTAATACTGTAGGAGTGAACATGCTGTTTTAGCTCCCTGTGTTTTGGGATGGGTGCTCACCCAGCAAAGCTGATTCATGGCAACCACAGTGACCATGCTTTATTGGAGTTCAGAAGCACCTTCTGTAGAGGAAGAAAGGCCCATGTTCCTCGTACTCAGAGCGGTGGACCCACAGTGGTTGGAAGCCCTGAAGTGATGCCAGGATGGAGCCACCTGTCCACACTGCCGTATCTCTTTCAGGCAACACGTTTACCTGGGGGGTGTCATTGGGACACATGCTGCTCAGCTCCTTCTGCAGACGGTTGGGGAAGCCACTGAGCATAGTTGTCCCCCCGCAGAGCAGGATGTTCCCCATGAGGTCCCGTTTGAGGGCAACGTCACACTTGTTCAGACAGGACACTGTCTGGGTGTGGAGGCCCAGCTGCATGGACTTGATCAGAGAAGGCTTGAAGAACATCTCTGAGCAGAGGAACCTTTCCTGGCATAGGTATATCTCCTGCCCATCCGGCAGGGTGTACTGGATCGCATGCTCAGTAGTTGGGACTTTCTTCTCTTCAATGGGGTCCAGGGCCACGAAGCAGCATTTCTTCTTGATGTCCTCCACAATGCCCATCTGGTCCTCAGTGAAGCATTTCCCCGAGTTGTTCATCAGGGCCATCAAGTAGGCTGTCAGGTCAGAACCTGCATAGTCCAGCCGTCCGGTGATGCTGGGCAAAGGATAACCCTCGTAGATGGGGACTACATAGGACACACCATGGCCGACCTCCACGACCAGGCCAGAGGTCCTTCCGTAGGAGTACATGGACAGGCGGGACTGGTAGGCGATGTGCATCGCGGGAGTTCTGAAGGTTTCAAACAGCATTTCAGCATACTTCTCCCTGTTGGTGTGTGGGCTCAGGGGTGGGTCTGAAACCAAGACCGCATGCTCCTCAGGGGCAATCTGCATCTCTTGATGGAAGAGATAGTCCCAGATATCCTGCACTGAATCCCAGTCCACGATGATGCCATGTCGCAGAGGATTAATTAACTTGAGACGAACATCTGGGTTGACAAGCTCATGCCCCACGAATGTCTCCTTGCGATTGTCCCCGGTTTTGGCGGTCTCCATGTAGGGCTTGCCCACTGTGGATGAGATCCTGTGGGTGGGCTTTGGCAGCCCAGCGAAGCCACACTTACAGTAGCCAGTGCCAAGGTCCACGACCACTGCTTTGGTCACTGCTAACTTGGGCATCTCCTTGACCCCTGTTGATGTAGTAGGTTTTTCTGGCTCCGAACGGTTATGGCGCACCCACACTGCCCGTTTTGCTGGGCCTTCCTTTAAGGAGGCAGTCTGGAGGACCTGTGTCTGCAGGGAGGACTGTTCACCTACTTTCTTAGAAGGCCCATCCCCTATGATTGCTGTCTGTGGAGCCCACACGCTCTCTAGAGCCATCTTGCTCTCAGAAAGTTCCTCAATTCCACCAGCTTCAAGGCCCGAAAGGCTTAAATCAGAGGGCAACTGGAGAACTTCTCCAATGATGACATCACTGATTATGACATAATCCAGTGACCCAGGGCTTTCTGGATCCCTGAAACCTTTGTCCTGTGTTAAGGTAGATTTGGGATAGTGTCTTTGAGATAACTTACTTTTTTTTTCAATTGAAGTATAGTCAGATTACAATGTTGTGTCAATTTCTGGTGTACAGCACAATGCTTCAGTCATACATACACATACATATATTTATTCTCATTCTTTTTCATTATAGGTCTCTATAGGATACTGAATATAGTTCCCTGTGCTATATACAGTATAAACTTGTTTATTTTATATATAGTAGTTAGTATTTGGAAATCTCAAACTCCCAGTTTATCCCTTCCTACTCCCTTTCCCCTCCAGTAACCATGTTTGTTTTCTGTGTCTGTGAGTCTGTTTCTCTTTTGTAAATAAGTTCATTTCATTTTTTAGGATTCCACATATAAGTGCTATCATGTGGTATTTTTCTCATTCTTGCTGACTTCACTTAGTATGACAATCTCCAGGTCCATCCATATTGCTGCCAAGTGGCATTATTTTATTTGCAGGTGACTTACTTTTTTTATAAATTTTGTAATAACCTGGTTTATCCAATCAGTTGCTATTTATTGAGTGCTTGCTATGTGCAAGGCAGGCAGCAGTGAAAAAAATGACAAAAATCTCTGCCCTTGTATAGTTAATATTCTAGTCAGTAGAGCTTGGGGAGAGACAAAATAACCAAAATAAATATGTGTTAGAAGATCTTAAGGACAAAAGAGAAAAGCAAAGCAGGGAAGGGGAGAGTGGCTGTGTTAATGCACTTGGGCAGAGCTCCCTGAGAAGGTGACACTTGAGATAAGGGAGAGTGCCACATGTGTATCGGGGAGCAGCAGGTGCAGATGACTATGGGTTAGATCAGGGGTCTGCAAACTCAGACCTGCGGCCTGTTTTATACTGCAGTTTTATTGGAACACAGCCACACGCGTTCACTCACACATTGTGGCTGCTTTTGTGCTACAACCGCAGAGTTGAGTCATTGCAATAAATACTGTATGGCTTGCAAAGCTGGAAATGAGTATTGATTTTCTGGCTCTTTACAGGAAAAGTTTGCCGACCTCTGGGCTAGAGGATCCCAAGAAGAGCAGTGTGGCTGCAGTGGAGAGAGCAAGCGACAGTCTGTGAGATGGGAGGAGCGAGGGGCGGGGGAGGGAGTGCGCACCTCATGGGCCCTGGCTGGGACTGTGGCTCTGACTCGCTGTGAGGTCAGACAGTACTAGAGAGCCTTGAGCAGAGAGCTGACACCATCTGATTTAGATATTAGCAGGACCGATTACTGCTACGGTGACCGATTACTGCCAAGCACTTCTATCCCATTTGTTCTTAAGGGCAACCTGCAGAGGAATAATTTTGGACACACATTTGTGCACATACTCCTCCTTCATCCAAGTCATTGGGGTTGACAATGAAATTAGACCTTAAATTCCCACTGATGAGAGCATTCAGGTTCTCAGATGCATAGCTCACCCAAGAATATCCAGCAAACTGTGCCTATCCATGTCACCAATCCCTCAACTACTTGTGCTCTTCTTAATTCTGCCAGAAAACTTCCTCAGCCCTGGTTGTTTCTCTTCCCCTATTTCTCCTGTTTCTTTGTGAACCACCAAAGCCCATATCTGCCCTTTATTTTGAGGGGGGCCAGTTTGGCATGGAGGACCCTATGGGAACCTGATGAATTTGATCGTTCTGGATGACAGGCCATCTCTCTTTCCTTGGGCAGAGGAAAGGGATTCATCCTTCCCTCTCCCTCACTCCCCACATCTAATCTAATCATCTGATGTAAATAAATGTAACGCTTGAGGCTAGAGACGTCATGAGAGCATATGAGAAAGGATCTCAAATGCTAGAATAAGAGCTTGGATTGAATTGAGGATAGTTGAGAACCAACCAATTAAACTCTACTATCTATATTTCTTTAGAAGCCGTCCCTTCCTCTCTTCCACATCACACCCCTAGCTTGGGCCATCTTCAAGTCTTACAAGAATTTCTTCAGTGTCCTCCTTTCAGGTCTCAGAGTCTTGTCTCTCTGTATTATAGCTAAACACAAATCTTTGTAAGATTGGGGCCTAGAAGCCAAATCTGATCACTCCCCTGCTTAAAGGCTTCATTGGTTCCCCAGCTGTCGTCAGTTTATTCCAAGCTCTTACCTGTAGCATTTGAGGCCCTCCCTTCTTGGCTTCATGACCTCTCTAGCCTCATCTATTTTTCCAAACACCTTAACTCCTGGAAGCTCCCCCCCAAACCCCATGCATCCCTCTGAGCCTTTGCTCGGGCTGTGCTCCCTGCTTAGGATGCCTTTCCCTCGTCTCAGCTACTTGACAAATACGTGTGGATCTTTCAGTACTCCACTTGGGCTTCGTGTCTCTGGAGAACCTTCAGACTCCCTCCCACCTTTGTGCAGTTCGGTTCTCCCAGTAGACATCCACCTGAAAATTCTGCGTCCATTTGTCTTCTTCCCAACTAGACTGGGCACTGCTTGTGGCCAGGTTTCTGTTGTTAGAGCCCTCACACTCTTTAAGGCGCATTGGAGTTGGATGAACTTGGGTTAAAGTACAGACACTCCGAGAGCTGTTTGTTTTGGGGCAACTCATTTGCATTCTGAGCCTTGATTTCCTCAGTTCTGCCTACCTCCCAGGATTCTGAAGTACCATGTGGGGTGCCTGGTACAATGCTTGGCTTACTGTAGGGGCTCAGATATTTATCACCCTCTCAGCCAAGAAGCTGAGGAGGAAAAGGTGTCCAGCTAGTGAATGGGGGGATTAGAAGCGAGGTTGTAAGGGGAGGGAGCAGAAACCTCTGAGACCCAAGTGTGTTTGGATTTCCAAAACTGTGCTGGCCACCTGATCTGTCCTAGAGCAAAGTCGAGTTAGGTGGATGGGGGTGGGGGGGTGTGACAGGCAAGAGCCTGCCAAGACCAAGCCCTCCCCAGGCTGACAGAATGGACCAGCCCTCAGTGACATCACAATCCCAAGGGGTTGCCAATGCAGTGCTGGAGATGGACCCTCTTATTTCTCCCCACGAAGCTCTAGGATGTGGATGTGAGAAAGGGGAGCAAGGCAGGCAGATGGCGACGAGGAACAGCCCTAGCCCCATGCCTATGGGCACAGCTCAGGGTGACCCTGGAGAGGCAGGCCCACTGCCAGGTCCTGCTGCTGGCATCCGGGACGCAAGTTCGGCCACTCAGCTGAAGATGAAGCCCAAGAAGGTGCGCAAGATCAAGGCACTCATCATTGACCTGGGCTCCCAGTACTGTAAGTGTGGCTATGCAGGCGAGCCGAGGCCCACCTACTTCATCTCCTCCACTGTGGGCAAGCGCTGCTCCGAGGCAGCTGACGCAGGTGACACTCGCAAGGAGACCTACGTGGGCCACGAGCTGCTCAACATGGAGGCGCCTCTGAAGCTGATTAACCCGCTAAAGCATGGCATTGTGGTGGACTGGGACTGTGTCCAGAGCATCTGGGAGTACATCTTCCACACGGCCATGAAGATCCTCCCTGAGGAGCATGCTGTGCTGGTCTCCGACTCCCCGCTCAGCCCCAGCAGCAACCGGGAGAAGTACGCGGAGCTCATGTTCGAGACCTTTGGTATCCCTGCCATGCACGTGACGTCGCAGTCGTTGCTGTCCATCTACTCCTACGGCAAGACCTCTGGGCTGGTGGTGGAGAGTGGGCATGGTGTCTCGCACGTGGTGCCAATCTCGGAAGGGGACGTGCTGCCAGGCCTGACGAGTCGCGCCGACTACGCTGGTGGTGAGCTCACCAACTACCTGCTGCAGCTGCTCAATGAGGCCGGCCACAAGTTCACAGCCAACCACCTGCACATCATCGAGCACATCAAGAAGAAGTGCTGCTACTCGGCACTCAAGCCCGAGGAGGAGCTTGGCCTGTCCTTGGAGGAGCTGCGTGTGGACTACGAGCTCCCAGATGGCAAGCTCATTACCATCGGCCAGGAGCGCTTCCAGTGTGCCGAGATGCTCTTCAAGCCCACCCTGGTGGGCAGCAACCAGCCCAGTCTCCCCGCGCTCACAGCCGCTTGCCTGGACCGCTGCCAGGAAGCGGGCTTCAGGGAGGAGATGGCCGCCAGCGTGCTGCTGTGTGGCGGCTGCACCATGCTGGATGGCTTCCCGGAGCGCTTCCAGAGGGAGCTGAGCCTCCTCTGCCCTGGGGACAGCCCCAAGGTGGCTGCTGCTCCTGAGAGGAAGACCTCCGTGTGGACCGGCGGCTCCATCCTAGCCTCCCTGCAGGCCTTCCAGCAGCTCTGGGTCAGCAAGGAAGAGTTTGAGGAGCGGGGCAGTGCAGCCATCTATAGCAAGTGCTGAGCGGCGGTGTCCTGTTGGGCCACTCTGTACACATTAACAGAATTTCACATAAAATTTTAAGGTGCGATGGCTCCTGTCTAGTCTGGATTTCTTGCTGTAGACTGATAGCAGAAGCGGTGGGGAGTTGGGCTTAGACAGATCAGCACCTTGTGCTCTTCGAGGTCAGGAACAGCAGGGAGGTGAGGAGGCTCACTGGCTCCTCTCTCTCTGCTCCTCTCGTGGGGGTGATGTCATTGTAGAGCCCAGTGTAGCCTCCTGTTCCATTAGCTCTTTGGAGTTCAAAACCCAATCCAACAGACACATTGCTTGCTCACCCATGGACCAAGGGGTAAACAGGCTCAGATTAAAGGACTAGCAAGGCTAAGATTAAGGGACTAGTGTGGGTCACATAGTTAAATGGTAGGTAGGAGGCTCAACTTAATGTCTGATTTCCGTCTCCTGTTTCTGCCCCTGATGGTCTCCTGCCCACAGTCTCATCACTCTTTGACCACCTCACTAACCACCCCTCACAATGCCTGCCCCCTTCAAAGGTACAGCCATGAATGTTAGGGGCCATTTCTACCCATCAGTTGCTCTCCTCCTTTAATCCCCTGACAAAATTGTAGCCATTTTTACAGAGCCACAAAGAACCACTGAATCTGGAGGATGCTGGAGGAAGCGGAAAGTCCTTTAGGTTCTCTCCCTCCTGTAGGGGTGGGGAAACTGGGGACCAGGATGGAGGGGGCCATGTCAGTGGTTGAGCCCAGGTCTCCTGGCCTAGGTCATGATTATTTACAGAGGGGTACACATGGTTGCTTTAGTTGAGGCTGCTGAAGCAAGATACCACAGACCGGGTGGCCTATAAACAACAAAAATTTATTTCTTACAGTTCTGGAGGCTGGAAGTCCAAGATCAGGGTGCCAGCATGCCCAGGTTCTGGTGAAGGCCCTCTTCCGGGTTGCAAACTGCTGACATTTTCCTGTGTTCTGACACGGTGGAAGGGATGAGGGGTATCTCTGGGGCCTCTTTTATAAAGGCAGTGATCCCATCTATGAGAGCTCTGCACTTCCAAAGATCACCACCCAAAGGTCCCATTACCTTGGGCATTAGGTTTTCAACATATGAATTTGGAGGCAGGGGTCAGGGACTACAGGAGGTGGAAGCAAACATTCAATCTAGCAACCATTAAGCACTTGGAAGACATCTACTACGGGTCAGCACAGAACTGGAGACTTGAGAGATGACCAGCATGTAGCCCTTCCCTCAGGATCACACGCAGCTAGGGGAGGATCCAGTGGACAGCCACATTAGTCAGGAGACAAGGCCTCAGGGTTCCTGGGGGTAGGAACGTGGAGGTGGTGTATTGGAAAGTTGTAAATGGAGAAGAGCTAGGCGTGGTGGCCATTTTGTGGCTTTGGGGCTGAAGGAGAAGCTGTCAAGTCTTTTGAGATTTCAGCTGGTAAACGATTGTCTGCCTAGAAGAAGGTCTTTCCTGCCTCTTCTCCTATCCCCACCTCCTAATGGGGCCCATGAGTTGTTGTCTGTGGGATCAGACATTGGTGAGCTGTGTAATCTGATGGGCTATCACATATCCCTGAGCCAAAGAGTCCTGATTTGAGGGCATTCTGTGAGGCTGCCTCTGTCCTGGGCCCTGTGCTGGGGGTTGCAGCCTTGGGAAAGAACCAAACATGGTCTTTATCACCTAAAATGCCTTGCCATCTAGTCCTTCCTTGTTGCCTAGAATTGGGCTTCTAGCCTGGGGTTTGAGTCCCTCTGGGGCTGGCAGGGCCTTGGTGCTATGCAGGAGCCTGGGTTCTTTCCCACGGAGACAGTTGCAGACTGGAGGCCTGGGGGCTGTTGGTGCCAGTGGGCAAATTTCATTTGGCCAGCACAGTGTATACATTTTTTTCTGGAATGTGAATTCTTTCAGTGGGGTCTACATTCTTATGTTGTCAAAGTTTCTACTGACCTGATGTCTTCATATATACTGCTGCTTCAACCTAACTTTTGCTTAATTAGCCAGCATCATTTCTGTTGCTTGCAACCCAAAGACCTTCACTTAATGCTAATACTAAAAGCCTGATGAGATACAGAGAGGGAAATAGAGGAGAAAATTATGTGCCCAGATCACACAGGCCGTAAATTAGTGCTGCATGTGAATAGTACCACTTGCTGATCTTGAAGACCTCTGAAAAACTATGCCTGTGTCTGCCTCCCCACCACTGAAATCTTTTCTTCCTCACTCTCCACATCCTCAGCAGTTTCTCCTGTCTCCACAGTCACAGCTTCTGAGCCCTCGTCACCTGGTCATCTCCAAAAGCATGCCCTGTTTGGCAGGTGCTGTGAAGACATGAATCACTTAATCTCTGATGAACTTATTTAAGCCAACCACAGGCATGAGAGGAGATTTAATTTTGGTAGAAAAATATGGGTCAGTGACTTTCAGCTTAAGATGTCTAACCACGTGTTTTTATCTCCTCATCCTCCTAAGCTTCACTAAAGTGATGGTAGAGGAATACAGATGTATGATCCACTGTAAATGAGGATAGTAGGGGCACTGCAGGAAGCTAGAGATTTCTACTTGATTCTGGAAGAAAGGAAGTGGATGCAGGAAGGCTGCAGTCTGAAATGTGCAAAGGGCAACCTACTGTCTTGCAGGATGGAAAAAGTTTTGAGACTTGGAAATGCTAAGTAGGGGAGGAATAGGACTGAAGTGTGTGAGGAAGTACAGGATAGAGGAAGGGATAGCAACTAATGGTCTCTGTCTGAGATCACAGCCCCCTCCCACTCTCCACAGGTAGAGGAGTGAGCAGAATGGCCAGCTTCTAAGTGTATATTTCTCGGGCAGAAAAACTGAAGAATTCTCTCTATGATGACAGTGCTAGTACAGGAAGAGGAGGAGAGGAGTGTTTGAAGAGCAGGTCATGAACCCTACCTGTAGCCCCTGTCCCTCCCCCAAAGCACGAGTCACACTCAGGTCTACCCAACATTCCCGAGATGCAACCCATAGTTGATGCCTCCATTTCCCCCTCATCCCTCAGCCACAACTCCCAGTTTCTATGTGGACATCAGGTGTGACCCAGGGCTGACTCCTTCCCTACTCTAGCACCAACCATGGAGCCTGTGACCTAGGCTAAGCCAATCAGACCAGTCCATCTGCCTGGCCACAATGATTGACTGGGAGTGAGCGTGTGACCTCAGTTGTCCATCTGTCCATGTCCCCACCCCACAGAGTGACACACAGGCCTTTTGCTTGGAAGGTTGACTTGAGATTGGGGAGTGGTGCTGCTGTGGCAATGTTGTCACCAGGAAGGAAGCCACCTTGAAGCTGACCCACCAAGGAGTGTGGAACTCAGAGAATCTCAGAAAGAGCTGGTTGCCCTGTTGACAGAGTGACCTCCTAGTGAAACCATGCCCAGAGGGACCTCTGCCATCAGACTTGTTTCCGTGAGCCGATGTGTTCATGCTCATCCCTCTGGTGGAGTGTGTGTGTCTGCTACACGCATTCTGAGAACATTCTAACTGTTTCTATTTCCTTCTCAACCATGGTGTTCCTCCAGAGCAGTTTGCATGGAGGAGGGGCCAGGGTTGGAGAGGCCTCTTAGAACTGAAATATTGACTGACAGTTAATTTATTTCCCAACAAAAAAGCTACTACACTTGAAGAAATTTTGTCAAGGTATTAGAGAATGTCAGATAACATACACACTGAAGTGTGGAAACCTGTGTGTCTACTGGCCACTCTCCCATATTCTCCTTTTTGGTTATTTGTCTCTGAGGTTAGACTTCAGCTTCATAGGGGCAAGAACTTCAACTTCTTCATCCTGGTTTTCTCTGGGCCCAGTGCAGAGTTTGGCACAGGGTGGGCGTTTAGTGCATGCCAACTGAAATGACTTACTCCCAGGCTGTGAGATGGAAGTTACAAGTATTTTTCTGCATTTTCCAGATGAGGACTGTGAGGCTGGGGGAGGTTTGAGTCTTGTTCAAGTGTCCCAGGCTAGTATACCGAAGTCTTGTGCTATATCAAAGTTTTGTGATTCCAGAATGCCTCTGCCCTGTCTTCTACCTTTCTGCAAATTATCAATCTCTCTTATGAGAAAAAAAGACATGTAAGAGATTGCTTTCAAGTAATGAACCACAAATATGATGTCACTTCATAATAATGAAAGTTAAGAATGCCAGTCTTTTAACAACAGAGACGACTCTTCCCTGAGATTTCCATAGACATAAATAAGCGAGTATTAGAGTGACATCTTGTGGTGATGTCCTACTGTTTAGACATGGCAAGAAGCCTGTTGTCCTCACTGACTGTCTGGGCAGCCTGATCTCTGTCCAAGTGTACTACCGAGTTTGCTCCAAGAGTTATCTGCATGAGGTGGCTTTAAGCAGTTAGCTGCTACAATACAAACCATTAATGGTGTTCTATTTTATAAATGTTTTTTGTTTATGATCCTATATTTTCTTGTAATTTAGTGGTTCTTAACCAGTGGGGAAAAGGAGTGTGGGGTCTTGGTTATACTAGAGTTATCTCTTAATGGCTTGTGAGAGCCCATTGTTAACTATTCAGCAATTTTGCAAGTGATTTGTTAAACCTTGTTAGTAGCTTGAAATTGGCCATGGTGGAAGTTTTACGCCCCCTGCAGAAATCAGCTAGTCTTGCAAATCAGGTTTGTTTTTTTTGCTCCCAGAGAGTTTGTTTAAAGAGGGGGAGCAAAAAGTTGTGAGAGAAATGGTGGGCAGCAAAATCATCTAGGGAGCTAGTTCCCAGAAGTCAAAAAACAAAACCAAACCCATGTGGCCCTTTCCCCTGGGAAGGTCTGACGCTGTAGATCTGGGGAAACACCTAGGAATCTACAATTGAAAAGTTCCTCAGGTGATTCTAATAGACACCGCAGTGAAGAGGCTGCTCAGAAGAGTGCACGGCACACATGCAGCACAGTGTAGATGTTCAGAAATAATGCAGAAGCAGTGGCCTAGAGTGGGACCAGCTGAAGGAGCTGGGTGACGAATGTTGATGAAAAATTAATCAATAGGCAATCTAAGAAAGAAATGGAAAATTTCATTCGAGCCAACCTGAGGATTATATCTGGGAGAAGTAGTCTTTCAGAAGTCTCTGAGGACTGTTGTGCCTATTAGCGGTCAAAGTACAGTTATGTACTTGTTTGAGACAAGGGTTATGCATCAGAGTAGCACATTGACAGTTTACATAGTCGAACAAGGTGAGTAGTGAGTCATCGTGTCTCCTTACGGGATTGAGAAAGGAATGTCATTTCCTAAAAGAAACCTTGCTGGTGCCAGGAGGAAATTGCTTTTTTTCCTTCCGGGGCGGGGAACGAGTAAGCATTCCTCTGAGGGGGTCTAGTTAATGGATAACGCAGAGCACATTGCACACTAAAGAGGGGGGATAGTTACTTAAACAGCAGAGATAATTTTATGTTAGATTTTCCTTGTCCTACCTTAAAAATACTTTTGTTTCATCATGAAGATGTCGCTCTGTAGGGTCAGAACGTCTTTCACCACCTGTCCAAGCTCACTCACCTTCAAGGCACAGCCCGAGTGTCCACTCCTCTGGAAGGCATTTCTCCCCTTCCCCTTCGCACTGCTGTGGCTTTGCACACCAGCCTTGGCTTTTATCATTTGCCCAACTTGGCAGAAAGGATGGACTGTGACTTTTCCACCTCTGTGTCTTGGCTTGGAGTAGGTGCCCTGGGGAAAGGATGCTGCATGTATTGCTCTGAGGCTCCTTAACTTGTATCTGCTAGTCCTTGATTTTTTGTTCTTTCCTCCCAGAACTTAGCAGGAGCTCTAGGGTTCTCAGCCCTTCGATCCCGGCTGCCTGTCAGAGTCACCTGGGGAGCTTTTAAAAAATGCTGATGCCCAAGTTCAGTCCCAATTAAAGCAGAATGTCTGGGGTGGAGTGGAAGCACCAGTATGATCTCCCAGGCCCCCAGTGATGCTGATGCTGCTCAGCTGAGAACCACGGCTGTCGGGACGCCTCGGGGCCCACCTAGGCTTTCATTGTCACCGCCAGAAATGCCATACAGCCTTTCAGGCCACACTCAGTCTAGAAAAATGTTCTTTTCTTGAAATGGAGCAGGAGAATCTGCCAGTTTTTTGAGCCTTTAGCATTCCAGAGGCCACGGCATGGCTTCTAAAAGGCATTCCACCCCTCCTGGCTTCTGTATTTACATAAATACGTAAAAAGACAATTAGGATCCAGATGAGTCATAAAAGAAGCAGTAGAACTATGCTTAATAAGTTCTGGGAAAGTCAGGCCAGAAAGCAGTGCTTTAAGGATGACCCTTGAGCAACTGCGGAGAGACTGAGAGCCACCTCTGTGGTTTCAGGCAGGAAGTATCCAGCAGAGAAAACCGTGAAGACCAGAACTGAATCAATAAGATCCATCATGACTGTGACCCCTGAACCACACCTTCAGAAGCACTCCTCTCTGTTTTTATGACCAAAAAACATATGGGGTTGAACTCTGCCAGGACCCTTTTGCTTTCCTTCCCTAAAACAAAGGCAGCTTGGTACATTTCCATAGCTCTAAGCACCTTCTATCTTCTTGTTACTTGAAAGGACCAGGCCTCTCCTCTGCCTCTCACCAGTGTGTGCATGCATGCATGCATGCATGTGTACATGCATACAGAGGTACATACATGTACACACAACACAGAGCATGCAGTCTGCTTAGAGGAATTTATTTCTTCGTGAAGGGAGGCATTAAGACAATGGAGGGAAAAGTTCTTGCCTTGGTCTTGTGGTTCTCAAATTTTGTTGCTGATTAGAATCACCTGGAAAAATCCTAATGCCGAGGACTTCTGGTTCCACCAAGAGGGATTTTATAGCCACTCTACTCATAGTTGCTCCAAACTGGAAGCAACTGAGATGTCCTTAAATAGGCTAATGGATAAACTGTGGTACATCTGTACAATGGAACATTATTCAGCAATAAAAAATTATTATTAGTTCATAATAATGTCAGTATTGGTTAATTATAACAAATGTGCAACACTACTGCACGATGTCAATGGTGGAAATAATGGAAGACCTGTCTGGGTAGGTGGGGGTGATATGTGGAAACTTTCTACACTATCTGCTCATGTAAATCTAAAACTTAAAAAAAATAAAATCTACTAAACAACCAAAAGGCAATCTATAGATTGGAAGAAAATATTTGCAAACCATACATCCAGCAAAGGGCTAGTATCTGGACTATGTAAAGAATTCTCAAAACTGAACAGTTAAAACCAATCCAATTTTAAAAATGGACAATAAGACATGAACATTTCACTAAAAAGAATGTGAAAAATAGCATATGAAAAAATATTCAGCGTCACCAGCCATTAGAGAAATAAGTGTAGATTAAAACCACAATGAGAGCTACCATACATCTATCAGAATGGCTTTTGAGAAAAAAATGATGACAATACCATAGCTGGTGAGGATGAGAAAGTAGGTCACTCATACATTGCTCATGGGAGTGTAAAATGACACAGTCTGGAAAACAGTTTGGTAGTTTCTTACAAAATGAAACGTGTAACCACCATGCCACCCAGCAGTTTCTCTCAGACATTTATCCCAGAGAATCTAAAATTTAACTTTGCACAAAAACCTGTATACAAATGTTCATAACAGCTTTATTCATAATAACCAGGAACTAGAGACAACTCAGATGTCCTTCAGTGGTTAAATCAGCTGGTACATCCATCCCAAGGAATACAACTCAGCAATAAAAAGGAATGAACTATTGAAAACATGCAACAACTTGGATGAATCTCCAGGGAATTATGCCAAGTGAAAAAAGTCAATCCCAAAAGGTCACACTGCTGCATAAATCTATTTATGTAACATTCTTGAAAGAAATGGAGGACAGATTGATGATTACCAGGGGTTAGGGATGGGTAGGGGGAGTTGGATGTGACTATAAAAGAAAAATTCAAGAGATCCTTGTGATGGTGAAACTGTTCTGCATCTTGATGTTTAAGCATTGGTATCATGGTTGTGACATTATTATAGTTTTGCAAGGTGTTACTATTGGGGGGAAATGGGATCTCACATTATTTCTTACAACTGCTTGTGAATCTACCAGTATCTCACGATAAAAGTTTAATTGAAAATGAAGAGCTAGACTGAGAAAAAAAATTCCTAATGTCCAGGCCACACTTTAGACTGGTTAAATCAAAATCGCTGGGGGTGGGACCAGGTATTCATATTTATTTTTAAGTTTTCTAGGTAGTTCCAACGTGCAGCCAGGTTTAAGAACCTATATTTCACCTGTGTGGAGCATGGGGCATTAGTGCTTAGGGGGTGTACAGATTAATTCAGACCAGCTGTGTGGTCTTGTGAACGCCATTTAACCTCAGGCTCTGCATTTGTAAGATGGTGAATACCTGTCCTTAAAGTTCCCAGCACTTTTCTAAGATCAAAGAGAAAAGGTAGGTGAGTGTTTTATAAATTGTAAAGTCCAATATAAATATTCTGATCAGTGTACAATATGTGTTGTATATATGTGCACATTTGTTTTTAAGTATGTACGGAATACCTACTACATGCAGAAATCTTCATATTTATTATCACATTTAATTTCATCAACAACCTGGCAATGCAGGAATTGTGATTCTGATTTTACAGAGAGGAGGGGCAAGAGGCTCACAGAGATAAATAATAATATCCCTGTTGTAAAGAGTATAAATAGATTCTGTTCCAGCAAAACTCCACTGGCCATGGGTTTGCCCAACAGTGTCAAGGTCATTTCGGTTTAAAGGTAAGCTCCTATTTTCACTTCTAAAGACACACAAACAAACAAATAGAATTCGTATAAGGGCAATTTTGGTCTAATTATCTGGGTAATAGTCTGAATTTTTCACTCCATTTGCCAGTACAGATGAAGCTAGGTGTAAGAGAGAAAAACAGTCGAGAATAAGAAAGCACTTGGTTTCCAAATGATTTATGCCCAGCATGATGCCAGAAGAGAGGCCACCTGGGATAGGAACAAGCTTGGACTTGTGGCGTCCCATTAGTGAATGCTAAGTCCCCCGTAATACCTGTGTTTGATTACGAAGGTAGTTAAAAATGCATTAAGTACAGAAAAGGTGATTCTGGCATCAGATGTCCACAAAATGAACACCAATGTAGAGGAGAAGGAAGTAATCACCTTTTTATATGCTTCTGTTGTAAATTAAATTAATTAAACTACTAGAACACTTGTAAAATTAAGAGGGATCAGTTCAAAATATATCAGAGAATAGAGACAATTAAAAAGTCCATATATGGAGCTGGAAATATCTTGGTCACTGGTATCCTTTTTGGATTAAGACAATTACTTAACTGACCAGCTGTGTGTGTATAGAGACCAAGTAATTCAAGGTCATCTACCTCCCAGATGGATTGGAACAGAGATCTGCCTCAATGTTAGCCACCTGGCAAAGTTTTTCTAATGATCTTTCAAGAATTTGGAGCTTTGCATGAACTAGCCATGATCTTCCACCTCTGAATGTTTTTCCATCCACTTTAATCTCTGGTTGTATGTACAAGTTCCCAAGAAAATTAGATCCTTGAAGTTTTAACTCAGTGAGTGAAAGGCAACTCACCAGATGACTCTTAAGAGATTGGGGAAGGGGAAGGTAAATATATGAGGAGGATATTTTTGTGGCTTGTTCCTCTTTTCCTTTGAAACCTTCCTACTGACCCAGGTCTTGGGGGAAGTGGCTGGATTCAGTCCTAACTTGAGGATGTCTAAAACTTGAAGAAGTTGGACATGGAATTTTACCATTCTTAGTCGTATTTGCTTAAACTGCTGAAAGGGTAATAAGAAACACAGTATGAAAAACCATTTGGCCATCTCAGGTGATATTCTTGACATTGGCTTGGGTTGCGGTGCACTGGGGTTTCTGGAGGGGCACCTATCAGGGCAGTATCCAGGCAGTTTCTGCTCCTGTCTCCAGTGGATACTTCACCTCTGCTCTTCTTTTGACCCTCTTCCTAGCTATCAAGGACAACTGGCTCTTCTCACCTTCTCAATTCCTTTGTCATGCTACTTCTTAGCAAGCAATTAGTAGGTTTTAGTATTTGAAACTTGAAAAATCAGATTAGATATAGGCTATATATTTCCCTATTACTAAATTAGAAATGCTACTGTTGGTAATAATAGTCATCTTTCATAGCTCTTTTTTTCCAGTTTCAAAGCATCACTGCACCTCACGTGTGGCATTTGATGCTTACAAGTAGCCTAGAAAAAAGAGTGGGGGCGAGGGTGGGTGTGGAACAGTGTTCTTGTTTTAGAGATGAGAAAAGTGAGGCACCAAGATGCATTGAGTCTAGTTATTGTGCACACAGCACCATTTGGTGCATTGGGGGGACATAGGGGGCATATCATTCCCCAAGCAAAACATGGTAAAAGCTAACGTGGCAGACAATCACCATTCGCTGAGCACCTGACTGCAATTCAGTACAGTAAACTGAATGAACACTCATCTGATCCAGGCTCTGTTCTAACCCCCAAGGGTAGGTAGGTAGGACGCAAAGATGAATTAGCCTTGCTGTCAAGTTGTTCATGATTTTGTGGGGGTAGGGTTGAAGATTTAGCAAATAATAAGGATGCCCAGTTAAACTGGAATTTCAGTAAGCCAGAAGTGGTTTTTCAGTGAAATATGTCCCATGTGACTTTATCTGACAGTATTTTACATAGAGGAAGATAGAGTAAAAGCCTGAAACTATTGTGACAATAGTGGAGACTCTGGGAAGATTTCCTAGAATAAGTGATAACTGAGTTGGGTCTTGAAGGCAGAAGAAGCCATAGAAAATCTAGTCAAAGGTGGCACAGTAGAGTCTGGTGAGCTTAGGGAATGGAATTATTTATCATTTCACAGTCAGTTTCCTCATCTGTAAAACGGGGGTAGTAATAGCATGTCTGTTGTAGGATTGTTGTGAGGATGAAATGAGTTTATATGTGTGAGGCACTTAGGACAGTGCCTCATACAGAGTAAGCACTATATGTGTATCTACTCCACTGAGAGGTGACAATGAAATTAACTAGGGCAGTGGAAAAGGTGAGGAAGAGGAAGGGTCTTTCCAGAGGTTCAAGTTACTGGATTCAGCTGACCGAAAGAGCAGAGAAGTGAGGCAGAAAGTGGAGGAAAAGAGAAGTGACATACATTCCTAACAGGGGTGAGTGGGAAGAGCTGGGCCTGGGAAGAGGTGAAGAGGAGCTGGCTTGGGACAAAAGTGAACAATTCAATCTGCACCTGCATTTGGAGTTGACTAGATTTTCTGTGGCCTCTTCTGCCGTCAAGACCCAACTCAGCTGTCACTTATTCCAGGAACTTGTCCCAGAGTCTCCACTTCAGGTGGAGAGATGTGGCAGGAATCCAAGTATAGGCTCAGGAAAGAATGCAGGGCCAGGGGTAGAGTCCTGGGAAGCTTCAGATTAGGGGTGAGGAAAACCAATGGCATGAATAAAATCACCCAGGGATTGAATGAGAAGTGAATAAGAACACTAAAGTTATTATACCTTGCCAATTTTCTACTTGCAACTCACAGCTTTTCTTATTGTACTTAATGTAATTTACACTCAGTAAGGTATTTCCATAAAAACTAAGGCAATCAAGTTACAGACCTGCATCCATGTGTGTGGGACATGGGCTGTCTCTGAAAGGCAGGCTCTAATGAGATCTAAGAGACCTGGAAATGGTTTCTAATTACATTCTTTTATGCCTTTTGATTTTTTTCCTACAAATAAATGTGCTATTCAAATGAAATTTATTTTAAGAAAAGGAGAAAAAACTCAAAATTTTGGTAACATAGTGTAAGAGCCTGAAAAAGATGCTCCCATTTACATTTCATTCTTACTTTAGTTATCCTGGAGTGGGTTTTGTGGAGATCTAAGGCTTTGATCACTTTCACTCTTAGGAACAAAGATTTATGCCTCAGGGTGTCTTATGCCTTGGGTGTGTCCATAGAGTCTTAGCTTAAGGAGAAAATATTGGTCTTACCATTGCACATGTTTTTCATTTCTCTCATTTGTCTACCTCAGTTTCTCTATAGACTTGGATTGTGGGGACCAATAATGAACACTTAAATTTATTTGACACCTGTTGAGACTGTCCAAAAAGCCAGCCCAGGGTCCTGGTCCCCAGGAAGTGCA